TGATATTCTGAATATTTTTTTGACCATGTGATATTTTGGTGCCTTACTCCTCTATTTTTTGTTTAATTGAGTCTAAATTATCTAGTGGATTGTTGATACAAAAATGTTGAGTCGTGTGTTTTTAGCCACTGACTAAGCATTCTGATTTTAAAGAACAAGAACTAAAAAAAAAAAGTAGGTGTGTTCATAGGCACAGATTTTGGTTATCTCCGGGCGGGGAGAGTCCCTGCCATTGCGCGGGATAAAAAAAAGGTCCTCACCTGTCTTATGTATTTATTTTTTTATGCTGGCCTGAAAAAGGCCCGCATACCAATAAGGTAAGTGCACCAATAATTGACAGTGTTCCAGTAATTGACACTTGCTCAATTATTCTTCAAAAATAAGAACATTAGACTATATATATATATATATATATATATATATATATATATATATATATATGAGAAATTTATCTTAAACATTGGTATTTTTCGAATATTTGGCAATCGTGTAGCCTACGTAACAGATGTTAGGTGGCACCACGGTCAGTTACAAAATAGTGAAAAGAGCACGTGCAGTGATAGAGTGTTTATGTTAAGACATTTCATAAGGTCAGTATACCAAATTGAATCTAATATATACTTCTTATCACTTCATGTTAAATTTATTTAAACTATTCCTGGGGGTGTATTAAACAACACTGATGGGTTTTTACTGGTTTTTATGCATGTAAATCCTAAAACCTCATTTTTGTTAAAGTGTCAATAATTGGAACAAACAAAACCAGTATGTTCCAGTTATTGACATACCCTGTCAATCACTGGTCCACAAGCAAATACTGATATACACTGTTGTCATACTGTCTAAAAAGTCTGCAATATACCATTTAAATATGAGATCTAACAGCCTTTTGGTTCCAGTCATTGACAGGGGTGTCAATTATTGGTACAAGAAGTGTCAATAACTGGAACACGTTTTTTATTACAGTTATGGCACCTAAAAAAAATTATACAGAGGCTCAGTTGGATGAAGCTCTTGCTGCTATAGCAAGAGGGATGCCAGTAGCTACAGCTGCTAAAACTTACTTTGTTCCACGAACAACGTTACTTTTTAAATCAACAGGAAAGCTACCTATACATTGCCGGATGGGACCAAGTACCATCCTCACAAGCAATGAAGAAACTCTTGTCGAACAGTGGATACTTTCTCTAGCAAAAGTGCACCATCCAGTAGGCAAAGAGCAATTACTAGACAGTGTCCAGTTTATCGTTAAAGAAAGTAAACAACCAAACCCTTTCACTGATTCGAGACCAGGTCGAAAATGGTACGAGTCGTTTTTGAAAAGGCATCCAAATTTAAGCGAAAGAGTTGTACAAAATTTAACACCAGCCAGCGAAAAAGTTACTGAACAACAATTGCGACAATGGTTTCGGAAAGTGAAAGAATAATTGCAGTCAAAAAATTTATTTGTCGCAACGGAGGATCCTTCCAGAGTATTCCACTCTGATGAGAGTGCTTTTTTTCTTCAACCAAAAGGTGATAAAGTCCTTGCACGAAAAGGGGATAAAAGCGTGTACAATGCCGGAACCAACGACGAGAAAGAAAATTTAACACTGTATTAGTCACTGCCAATACCGCTGGGACACTAGCTCCTCCCATGGTGGTGTTTAAATATGAACGCATTCCAAGCCATGTAGCTGTCAGTATCAATAAAAGTTGGGGAATAGGCCGTTCCGAAAGTGGATGGATGTGTGGAGCAACTTTTTTTGAATATATAACAAATGTGTTTGTACCATAGCTAGATGAGAAAAAATTGAGAGACCTATTATTATGTTTATTGACTGTCATGTGTCACACATGACATTACACCTATCAAAGTTTTGTTCAAAAAATTGAATAGAACTTTTTGCATTGTATCCAAACTCTACACATTTAAATTCAACCTATGGATGTGGCTGTATTTAAGCCGCTAAAACAATTTTGGAAAAAATCTGTAAGAGATTGGTACATCGAAAATCACGGAAAAATATTGCGAAAAGAAAATTTCGGAAAAGTGTTTGAGGAAGCGTTATCCAAAGTTACAGATAAAACAATTCAACATGGATTTAGGGCATGTGGACTTCGCCGTTTAATGTAGAAAATGTAAAATTTTCAAAAATTTCAAACCCGTCGCCAGAAGTTAATCAAACCAGAATAATAGAAGGGTTGGCAGTTTTGGAAAAATTTATTCCCTCAGAAAAATTAAAAAACTTTCGAACAAATATTTGATAATGCATGGACAGGTAAAATGGAAGACGTGTCACTATTTAATGTATGGAACACAATGAAAACATAAATAAAAGTGAGAACCAAAATTGCAATAGGAAAGAAAATGATCTTGTAGAAAACATATGAGACAACTCGAGACCAGGATCTTCTGGCCTTCAATAACAAAGTGTTGATTCTGATATGACCCCATTAAAAATTGTTATACATTCTAATGTCAATATTACACCTCCTACTGTATCACAAAGTGATAGATCTCCTTTAAATTCATTGGAAAATACAATGACGTTCAATATATTATCTTTAAAGAAACAAGTTCCCACTCCATTTAAAAAAAGCCTTGTTTTGGCCGGAAAAAGTAAAAAACAAAAAAAAAGAATAAAGAGCAAATTCCTTGTGCTATTACGTCAGAAATTTGGCAAAAATACCACATAAAAAAGGATTCTGAGAAAAAGAGAAAACAAGAAGAACAACAAAAACAGGCAGAAGAGAGAAAGCGAAAAAGGGAAGAAAAAATTATAAAAATACAAAACAAGGCTAAGACTGTAAAGAGGGAAAGTTCTGACAATTCATCCGAAAACGAAGAATGGATAGAAAGTGGAAACAGTATTGATGATGTCAGTATCAATTTAGAAAATGAAGAAGAGAACGAAATACCAATCAAATACGACGATATCCATGTAGATTTTATTTTAGCGAAATTCTTAGGAGGAAAGAGAAAAACTTTATTTATAGGTATATCTGCGTGGTTCAGAAGAAATATTCCCGAAACGATATTGAAGTTATATCCCTTAAATCAACAAATGAAACGAATACCTTCAAACTTGTTGATAGTGATATTTCAACAATCAAGATAGAGGATATCATAAAAAAGTTATCCCACCCGGAACTACACAATGTCGGCGACCGAATAAAATATGTATTTTCAAAAAATATTGATATTTTTGAAGTCTAAAGCACCCATAAAATTTCATTTTTTGTTTTTATTTTTTGTGTTATGAATTTGCTGTTTATTTTTATTTGCTTAGTGTATTCAAAATTAAGAGTATAATAAAAAAATCTTCCTTAATTTGTGTCAATAATTGGTGTCAATTATTGGTACATGAAAAAAAATCAAGTGTCAATGACTGGTATATACTTCAAAACACTTTTTTTATATTTATTTCATGAAAAGCAAAATTATTAGAACTAAAAATACATAACTAATGAACTCAAGAAACTTTAAGCTACAAGAAAAAAATCGTATTATATGCTTAAATTTTTTTGTTATTGGTGAAAATAATTATTTAATACAAATCAGCGTCTAATAGTGTCAATTATTGGTGCAGTTACCTTACCTACTATTAGTATTTTCTGTAAATACTTCAAAGATTTAGTTGAATAATATTAAGTATGTAGGCTAATTTAAGTATACACATACAGTTCTGCAATAATTATTTCTCAATATTTTTAAATTATTTCTAATAGGTATTTAAATATTTCGTTATTTTTAAAACTATGATCTAAAAATATATCCTTATAATTATTCTAAAAGTGTTTGTTTTCCCTTTTTAACGAATCAGTTAAAAATGTACCTTGTATATTTACATAGGAAATCACTTTATTCTTGTACCAAATAAAATATTTCGACGAATTGAGAACCTCCTCTTTTTTTGAAGTCTGTTAAAAATTGAGTTGGTATTTAAAAGTACCTACTTATGAATAGGTACCTACCTACATACTTTTATGACTCCAAAACTATTCCAGTAATTCATTTTATAGGTAAGTGTAATTATATTTTCATTTTACATAGACCGCATTTGATTTTCGCCCCGCACATTTCTTTTTCCTCGCTTTTTAACTTTTTAAACAAAGATGATTTTTGATAAGTAGTACTTATGTAATCAAATTTTAGTTTATTTTGTGAAAATATCTATTGATGTAAACACATTATTAATTGAAATTAGGTATTTTAATTTAATTTTTGTCACCTATATTTTCCGTATAGGTATATTATGTAAGTACTTAGGTACCTACATTAAAAAAACAATACATGGATGAAGAATTTTCATTAGTTTCATTGATCCTAATAATTTGAATTTTTGTCCAATCTTAACACAAAGATGGGGTAAAAAGTCGGCACTCAATATTAAATATTTTCTGAATAGAGTACAATCTATTTTTTAATGATTGAGATTGAATCTTGGAATGAATTGTATAAAATAAAATGAAATAGGCAGCAATTTAAGGATACGCTATTGTGTTATTTTTTAAAAACCACGTTGAAAGTAGTTAACAGATTTTTCAAGTATGTAGGTAGGTATACTCTGGTATACCAGGATAAATATGTGAATTGGTCTTTTTGATGTCCAAAACAAAACTGTAAACAATGTCAATTTTTAAATATCGCAAATTGTTATGAAATTTTTTTTTCCTGGTAAAATTTATGAAATTCTACGATTACGATAGTAACTACAAAACAGAAAGGGGTATTTTTCTACATTTAATATTTATGTGCTTAGTTAAAAGAAAGACTTGATTTTTGTGATTTCTCCACTCCGGTCTGACAAAACTTATGGCTTAAAAATTAAACTATCGCTCATTTTCAACTATCCACCCAGACACTATCAAGTTTGTTGAATTAAACAACTTTTAACCCTTTTTATTGACAATAACAAGTACCATTTTAGAAGCACTACAACAGTACTGTCAATACATAACCTCCATTTACAGGTTCAGCAAACACAGATGATAATTCTAAGTATTTCTTTACTTACCCGGTTATTTGCGGTATCAGTGGCTGTTCGTTGTCGTTTTGAATGAGGACCATCGCCATTGAACGCCATTTTGAAACAAACACTACCGAAGACCGAAATCAAAATCTCTTCACACCTCGAAAACGGCACGCGCAGAACTGTCGGCTTTTGAGTTTTCACGGTTTCAGAACTGAGAAAATGCGAGTGCGCGATTATTTTCGATTGTTTGTAGCTAGAGACATCTAGCTGTACATAAGACAAATTCTTACCGATTCCTGCAGTAGCTATGTTAGTTCTGAGTTCTGAAAGTATCTATTCTGAATAATTCCAGAATCACCAATACGAACAATGTAAATTATGTTCTATAGTTGGCCAATTCACTATTGCATTTACAACGCTCATATATTTGTTTACGAATATTACATTGGTCGTATATTAGCAATTTCTGGGATCAATTTAGAATGCGTCTTTATTCATACACTGTTGCCAGCATTGGAAATTTTACTGCAGTTACTGGAAATATTATAAAATGGAACAATTATTATTAGTAATTATCAAATAACACAATAAAACAAAACATCAAACATCAGTGAAGGATGTTGAAACAAAACTTGATAAATGTATGCTGCAGACCAGTTTTTAGACAAATACAGGGATGATATGGTTTTACTTTTTTGTTTGTATTCACCATTTATTTATTTATTTATTTATTATGGGTATATATTAATTATTGTGTTATTAAATGCAAGACTACCTATAGGGCTACTCTTAAATCTAAATCTCACCCTTTACAGGCAAATATAAATAGAAACGTGCAAATTAGATTAATAATTGACACAAATAAAAGAAAATTAAATTTGTAAATGTGAGTTTTATTGGAATATTAAAGATCTACTTAAGTAATCGATGTGTGTTTTTACATGATTTTTACTGATACCTACTTAATTGATCTGTATACTTATTATTTTATCATTATTGTGAGACCATTCTCTGACCTATGGGAGACCACTATAATAGTACAAGGCATTCAATAAATATATCACCCATTGGGAATATTATACCAGTGCCCGGTAAACCACAAATAGTTGGCATTCGCTCGGTCTGACACCGGCATGTACGGAAAGCCGAGTACTCGGATTGCCGTTGTCGGGGTTTCTTCTGAGCCGGGAGTACCATACCATTTGACGTAATTTAGTAGTAGAAACCACATGTGGTCCATATTTGGCTTTGCAGACATGGTAGGCATCCTTACGAGCCGAACGCGGTGAATATTTGGCTAGCCGGGCATGGGAGACATCCTTACGGGCCGAAGTATATATAGATATATGACCGCGGCTACAATGTAATGGGCAGCCAACATTCGGCTGGGCGGACATGTCCTACCTATGTACCGAAGCTGCACCCATATATCGGGCCGAGTACGGCATTCGGCAAGCCTCCTTCGGCCCAGTTACGGTGCCGATTAACTGTGTTTATTGGGTGGCGGCTGGTGCATATAAGTGCTGATGTAGAACTGCAAAACTGACAAAAAATGCAATTATCCAAAATATAGGCATACTCTCATGATTTTAATTATTAAATAGTAAACTGTGTGTGTGCACTGCACCGCTTGGGCCGCCGCCCGCTCATTGCCTCCTTTATTTTATTCTAGGAGGCATATGCATGTCAAAAATATTATTTAACAAGTTTGCGAACAGCGAAACTTTTTTGCCAACAGTATTTTGATCAAAAATAAAAAAGATGTATTGAACAATTTTACTTTAACATTTTTCAATGCCTCTTTTTTAAATTTTGATTAAAATACTGTTGACAAGAAAGTTTCCCTATTCGCAAACTTATTGTTAATTATTCTTTTTGACCAGGCATATCCCGATAGCACACCAAATCCTTTGGATATCTACTGGACATCCCAATATCCACTGAATGTCCAGTCCATGGTGGCTATCTATTTTATATCCATTAGATGTAATTTACAGACATGCAAATGTCCATAAATAATAATTATATAGCAAATTATTAAAAAATTACGCCATTGTTGTGCTCGCTATTGTGGCTAATAGCACCGTTCAGATATTTAAAATTAATTTTTTTAAGGTGTATTCAATATCCCATGGACATCCACTAAATATATCAAAGTCTAGGCGCGAACGCAAACCATGGTGGATATCCACTAGATGTAAATTTTGATTTTGCTTTCTAAGTATAGATGGCGATACCACTTTCGCTCGTTGAATATCTACTCATGCTCAAGCCGCTGTAATTGAGTTCGATCGAAATTGGTATCACAAATCACAATCAGACTCCATTAGAGACTGGAGTCGAGAATTTCCATTTATTGCTGAAGAGTCCTAATAAGGATGACTTTCTCCTTAGTGGGCAAAATCAAAGGCAGAGTGTTGAAAATATTTTGAGTGTTGAAAATATTTTTTATCTCTGCTATTTTCTTTCGACGTTATTCAATAATCATTGGTTACTTATGAACCTCTACTAAAGATAAAATATGTTGCTGAATATCCGAATATCTTCTATATCCTGGGATATAGACGGACATTTGGTTGGATATCCATATTGGATATATTGAATATCCACAAAATATATTCTGTGGATATCTCTGGGATTTCTTGTATTTTCTGAAAGATACCCATTAGATATATTGCTGGATATCCATTAGGATATCTTCTATATTCTGGATATAGACGGACATTTGGATATCCATATTGGATCCACGGAATATTTCTGATATCCTGTGGATATATTGGATATCCACAAAAAATATTCTGTGGATATCTCTGGGATTTGGTGTTATCAAGACAACTAAAGGAGACGATGGGCGAGCGAGAGCCCAAATGCGGTGCAATGTGCATACATTATTTAGTATTTAAAAATTAAAATTAATGAAATCCATAAAATCTAATTTTGTGAAATGTAGATGATATACCTACTTGCATTTGTTGGCAATTCTGCAGCTCTACAGCACTTATACACCAGCCGCCACAAAAGTGGATTTTGAGATTTGCTTCATATAGGTATCTATGGTGAGAGTCTAATTTTAGAAAAAAAAAATACATAAAAATTAGAAATTAGGATAATATCTCGTTAAATGTTCAATGTTATAAATTATTACTGTATACCTTTTAAAGAATAATCATCATGAAATATTTTAAACTTGATTTTTTGACAAATCAACTATTAAGAGATCCTGTCAGAATTTATATTATTTTATCAAATATTAATTTTTGCCATTTTTCAATTAAACACCAAAAAATAATACACAAACATAGATAAATAACCTCAAAGAGAAGCACGTACTTTTGTTGTTTTTGTCAAGCGTCCACTATTTAAAATCACGTGTTTGAATTGCCTAAATGCATCTGGCAACGTTGATCAAAATACAGTTATAGATCCGTTCTTAAAACCAGTTCCAAACCTGTCACAAGAAATATGGTTGAGATATTAACCAATAAAAAACGAGCTGATTGGTTTTGTTCGGTTTTCTCTCAAAAGTCTCAAAATGGTTCTGTCCGAAATTCAGATTGGTTAAAATTTGCTAATAATATGACTTGGTACCAGATTTGAAAATCGTAATTTAATGAAAAATCCTAACTGGTAAATTCAGAAGCCTCATTTTGTTACAGCAATAGAGAAGCAAAAGCAACACATATTCGAGAGCATGTCTGACCAGACTGGTAATTTTTATTTATTTATTTTATGATTATCTGCCTTAATATGTACAAAAATAATAATTACATGTTACTTGCATGTAAAACTTAAATTACTGAACACAAAAACAGAAAAGTTCTATATTCACCTAAGTTGTTACATTTTTAATTTGATTAAGTTATTAAAAATATCAGTAAATGTAAACAATTTCTGAGTGAGCTAAAAATATTACCTTCATTAGCATTATACTTACTTAAGAGAATTTTATTTTACACTATACAGAAAGGCATCAAATATCTAATTGTGTCAAAAATTTATAAAAATAAGTACCTATATATTTTTTTAGAAGAGGTGATTGTTCCTGAGCCTCTTATTGAAGAAACTATTGAAGAGACCATTGATGAACTTGAAGCTGAAGAATATTTTAATAATGAACGAACTCTAACATTAATTAGATTATTTAAAAATTATAAACCCTTAGTAGCTGCAGGATCTATTAAAACCATGAAACAAATGTGGGAAATAATTTCTGCAGATTTTTTAAATGAACACCAACTATCTGTAACTCCACAAAAATGCGAAAATCGCATAAAAGTTTTAGAACGAGGATACAAAAAAATGAAGGATAAACTGGCCAAAGGAGAGAGACCCAAAAAACTATTTCCATATTATGAAGAATTTCAAGATATGCCTCTTAACAAAAAATATGCGTTTGTTCCTGGATTAAATTCCTCTAATTATTCTACATATACTACTGTTAATTTTAACAACACCGTTAAACCTGTCACTCCTGTTACTTACATTAAATTATCAAATGTGAAACAAGACATAGATGATGTTTCTCAAACTGAAAATTCACAACTTATTGAACAACCACAAGAAACTTCTCAACAAATTCTTCCACAGCAAACTACTACACCACGACAACCACCACCATCTAATATGGTTATTATAGGAGATATATATTTCAATAGAGAAAGGACATTAGCTTTGATAGACTTATATAAAAAGTATAATGAAAAATATTGTGAGAGAGCTATAAAAACAAAACGACGAATGTGGTATATAATTGCAAGAGAAATGACCAGTTTGTTTAAAATTCCCATTACAGGTTCAAAATGTGAAAATAAACTAAAAGTACTTGAGAGAAATTATAAAAGGGGTACTTATCTTAAAAGAAGATATGAATTTGAAGACGAACTTAAAGCTATTTTTGGAGACAGGGTTGTTAGGCCACCTGTTGTGAAACCTTCGACTGTATTCAATAATAGAGCAACTCCTTCAACTTCTACAACACCTCAACAAGTTACTATACGAGTTTTAGACCCAAAAGCAACTATAGCAGATAAAATAGAGACTGTTCTTTTGGGGATCAGAAGTGATTTTCAAATTTATTACAGAGAAAGATTGAACATCGAAAGGGACAAATTATCACTTAAAAGACAAAAATTAAGCATGATGAAGGATGATCGGAGAAAGATGAGATAAAATGCTCTTTATATACAGTTTTTTTTATTTTATAACAATACATTTTAGCATTAATTAAATAGTGTTTTTAAATTTAAGAGTAAAAATTTTGAGTAAAATATGTATAAGATGCTTTGTACATGCCTAACCAGCAGTTTATACAATAATTACAAAAGTTGATGCCTGTCGAAATGTTTTTTATTTTAATGAAAAATAGTCTTTACAGTTCTTTATGAATGTTTTTCAGTAGTTTTAAGCAAAAACCCGGCAAATACCTATTGGCTCCTTTAACTTTGTAGAGGCTAATCCTTCTTGGTGTATTTAACTGATCACAATTGACTTTTGCATTTACAAATATAGAAGTAAGATATGTCTCTTATTTTTTATTAATAATACAGTGTCCAACAGATTTTCAACTAATAACTGGATAGGAAACATTAAATGCATTATATAAAATACATTGTTACATTTGGAGGGAAAAATACATTATATAGTTTAGGCTATGTTTTATATTTATGCTAGGCTGCAGTTAAATATGTCCAGGCTTTGACATAGAAAACGGTTATGATTTTCACACATGCTGTAAAGTGGGACTATTTTTTGAGGTTTATCCTAGGGGTATGCAAATAAAACGTGTATTTTTTGTACTAGCATGTGTAACGTAAATCCTAATTCTATGTAATTTCACGGTCAATTATAAATACCTGTTGTATGATAATTATTTGGGACTCAAGTGATTTTACAGAATAACGATCAAGAAGTGCAGTCATGGGGTTAGCCTATAGCAGGATATTGTGTTATCTTGTTTGAAGGAAGCATAATTTAAGAAAGAGATGCTGGACGGATTCTAACTCTGATATAAATACTATAGAATGGAGCCCAGATGACAGAGGTATATTCAAGTTTGGATCTGACATGAGATTAAAAGGAACCAAAAGTGGTTGACGGCTGTGTGTATGCAGCTTAGATCAGCAAAGAAAAACTTGTATTTCATTCATAATTTTATTAAAATAGCAAAGCACTTTCGGCATTAAGCCATCTTCAGTGCTTACTGTCAAATATACAAAGATATCGACTATGTAATATCGGTTGTCATTGTTATTTCCCATTGAGATAGAATAAAGAGGAGATGCTATGACGATGCTAAATTGTCCGCACTTTTGTATTAATTTTTACGTCAATGTCAAATTTGAGATAATGTAGCTGGTCAGTTTTGGTGAGAATAAATGCCATTTTTCTTTAAATAGTTTCATATAATGATATAAAATTATTTTCATTTAGTCAGTCTTTAAATATAAAATTGACTTCAAATAAATCAAAGTACGACTCAAGTCGCCATTTTGATTACACTTTTCTGTCACTTAAAGTGAGTCCATTTTGTCATATCGCAAAATAGTGTTTATGTCGTCTCTACTTTATACTATCTCGATGTTATTTCCAATATTGTAATGCTGCGTTTGAGAATCCACATCGGATGCATTTTTTACATCTCGAGCGTTTTTTTATCCACATCGGACACATCTGTCCCATTACATTTACGTATACTGCATCACGTGATCAAAGATTTTTTACATCTCAGATGCATCCGATGTGGATTCTCAAACGCAGCATAATATTGGAGAATCCCACCTTGCTAAATCAACATATTTAATAATTTTTTTATTTTTGTTTAAATATTTACTTTTTATTAAACCATTTCCATCAGGCAAGGTGGACTGGTGAACCATACAAATACCATAAATTTGTACAAATTCATTTTTGTTTTATTTTTTTGAAGATATGAGTGACTTTGGACGACTCTTTTAAGACCGGGAAATTGATTATTTTTTAACAAGTTGAATATTTAAGATGTTTAGAGAATATACATGCACAGTTAGAATGAAAGAAAGAATTTTGTCAGGCTTCATGGTATTTTTTTTAATGCTTCATAATTTTTTTTTTTTTTTTGATTTACCATGATTGAAAAATGATTGTGTTAGGAGCTAATTAATTTTGAAAAATGTTTGCTAATGCATTAACTATTTTCTGAGGATTCTTATAATTTTCATTATTATAATGCATTGTCCTCGGAAGCTCATTAGAGAAAAATTTTCAACACACTACCATTGAAGATTCGAACCACAATTGGGTATAAAAGGTTTGTTGAGCAATGTAAAATTTTTATTTTTGAGAAAAGAGAATGTGTTGCTCAACTATTGTAGTTTGTAAGTATACATATTTATTTCTCTAAATTCAAGATATTATTTTAATTTGTTAATTGTTATTTTATGTTCCTCTTTTTCATTTTTTGCCATTACCATATTATATAGTTCAGAGTAACTTTGTTTTTGTTTAATATTATGTTGTCATATCATGTATATTGTATATAAAATTGAACTGTTTATTTTTTGTAAACCTTCAGAATTCTATTGCATTCCTTTTCTCTTTTAAAGATGTTTGAAATTATTTAATTTAGAGTTATCTCAGATTTCCTGACACGTTTAGTTTTAATTTTTGTAATAAAGCTGCATGTGAACCATGGCGGATGATTTGAAATTTGATATTTCGGCACATATCTACCAATTAAATCATATATTTTCCTATAAAAGTAATTAAATACTATCAATGTCATCTAACAGATTCCTATTAGTATTAACCAATGTCTTGTATAAAGTGCCAATGTCAGTGACTCTATAATCAGGCAGATGTATGACAAATACATTGGATTTCTTTTAAGTAGTCCTGATAGGCAGGCATACTGGTGGACATAACAAAACCTCAAATTGTCTGACAAAGCAGAATTAACTGTATTAGAAAAAAAAATTGAATTTAAAGAAAAAGTTTTTATTATTAAATTTTTAGTTATATACCTAAGATTATTAAAGATATTTACATTAATTTTTGTCAATTAAAGAGCAAATAAATACTGAGTCTCTGGTAATTTTCCTCCAAAATGTATCCTTCCCGCTTGAGGAGTGCACACTCTTCTCATAACTTCTTTTATTTCATTTACACTTATAGGTGGTTGACTCATGTATACCTTACTGTAATCTGGATTGGGTTCCTCAAATTTATGTCTTCCATTAAACATGGTTGATGTGTAATAAGAACCTGTTAGATGTTTTAATGGATCTGTTCCACTTTTGGAATCCATTCTCACAAGTAAAGCATAATCAGTAATCTCTGCTACAGTTTCATAAGCATAATAAGCTATCACATCTAAAGCATCATCTTTGAAGTTAATCTCTTTTTTTGGATCAATCCATAACCTTAATTTTACCAAACTCCTGTAGGTGGTATCTTTGCTTAAAAATGAAGCACAGCGAGCCTTACAAAAGTCGAGATACTTTTTTTCATCTAATGCTTGTGATATTCTATCTGCTCGCAATTGTCGCTCATATTTAACTTCATCAAACTCTGTTAAATCCGTAAATTCTTCAGTTTCATCAATTCTTTCAATGAATTCTAAAAGGTCTGATTTTGGCTTTACGTCTAGGTTTATTTCGGTAAAATCCACTTGTATTTTCAATTTGTTGTGTTTGTTTATTAAATATTTCACAAACCGTCTCATTTTTTGTTTATTGTGGCGCATGAGAAAAATTAATTCTTCACCTTTAAGATTTTTTCCATCAGAATATTTAAGTGCCTCTTGCACTATAGTTCTGAGTTGTTTCAATACAATACTTTCTACAAGACGAACTGTTTCTGGATTTGGTTTATGGCTATCTCCAAACCCAAACATCATTAGAGAAATTTCATTATAATATGTAATATCCGAATCGGTTTCCATTTTTATATGATTTTACTTACAGTTATGGGAATTTATTTTGAGACTTGAGATAACTAATAATACCAAATACAATAATCATATCCACAAAATGATATTTATGTTGTGCTCAGGTTTTGCTATTGCTAATTTGCTCTTTTTACTTTTTATTTTTCTATAAATTTGCTATTATTTCATTATTTGTAAACATATAAAGAGCAAAAGCAGACATAAAAATATGTCAAATAAAGCTAGGTTAAAATCCTACCACTACCGAAATACATTGCGTTCGGTTTGCCACGTTCCTTTAACTCCTTTAACACTTTTAACTCCAAACGACTCTTTTAGCGTTCGGTTTAGTCCGATTAGTGACAGTTTAACACGCTTAAATGTCATTTAAAAGCACCCTAAAATTTGTCCCGCTCCAGCCCCTGACTGACCGAACTCGCCTATATTAGTCCTGAAGTCCCTGTTCTGTGATTGGCAGATTTGAAATTTGACAATTTAAAAAAAATCCATCCATCCTGTTAAGTGTTCTGTGATCCTGTTGCTGTTTACTGTTTGCAGTTTGCTTTTGCTAGTTTTTTCATTTTAACGAAGAATCCCTTTATATCCGTTTTACATAACCCAAGAGTTAGATTAAAAATGGTAGTAATAAACTCTTTTAAGTATCCTGAATCTGATATCAGGTGTCAATCAGAAGATGTAAGAGTTTTCTTGGATAAAAAAGATCTTGGAAAGGGCACATTGTTCGTCAGTGAAAGGTATACTTTTGAATTAAAAAGAGAAATACATTTATATTAAGTGCTTGTTTCTAGTACATTATGCTGGCGTCAAAGAGAAGATATTGGTTTTACCATTGGATATCCAAGTATTTCATTACATGCAATATCTAAAGACACAAATATACACCCTAAAGATTGTGTTTATATAATGACTGATGGGCATATTACTATGCCTGGTAAGTACTGAATAAAATATTTCACTAGAAAAGAAACTATTGACTATTTGTTACCTGTTACGAAATACAAGTTCTTTTTATGTGCTTAACATTCATATAAAAAATCTGTGATTTATTAATAATTATATTCTGTCAATTCCTGCTCTGTAATTGGGTTTATGACATGTAGGGTATTGTATTATAAATAAATAAATAAAAAGTAAGTAAACTGATCCAAATACCTACCTACCAATAATAGCCTCAATCCTAAAATGAATTTGGCATAAAAGGGACAATGATAATCAGTTGATGGTCTCTCAAAGTTCGATATGACCGCCATATAATCTTTTTTGTTGAAAATCTTTTATTTAATGATGACACATCTATGGCTGTTCCAATACTGCTACATATAAGATTAAATTATCAACTGGAAATTTGATAAAATCCTCTTCCTTGAATGTGACTCCAATCAAAAATTTTAATTCCAATATATAGAATCCATTTTGTATTTTGTTGTAAGTGCTTTTTCTCATGAGTAGTAATGCATACAGTTTTTCATAATGATGAATATACAATACTTTTTACATAATTTAACTTAGTTGGTTTAGTTATCTATTCACTTTTTGTAACACTAAAAGGGGAATTGAATTGGTGAATTCGAAAACTGTACATGTCCAAAATTAGCCTTCCGAGAAAAACAAAAACCTTTTAATGAGTTATAAATATGTATGTATGGTTTTTCGCATAATTTCACGAAAGTAATCAGCTGTACTACATTAACGGATAGGGATCTAGTATGGTTTTTAAGCTCAATCGATGAAGAGACAAATTTTAAACAAAATGGCTATCTTACTTTAAAATGTCAAATCTTGGACTTGTACAGTTTTCGAACTCACCGATTCAATTTATCCCATCAATAAAATTATTTATTTATAGATATGTTTTGTGTCTAATATAGTGAGATTTACATATCAATGGCATAAATATTACCTATAAAAAAATTTCAATTCAAATATTTTTAACATACCCTGGAGAAGATGAGTACTTAACCAAATGTATGCCTTTGTTTAGCTATTATACAAAAAACGAAATTTAAAAACAGTTTTTCTAGTCTGATTAACCTACATAATGTTAATTTTCAATGTTTTGTATAAGTACACTACTTAAATGTTCACACAAATTTTGTGTCTGTAAGAATTAAATGTAATTTCTTATATAAATCATAAATTACAGGGGAATTACCTCCTCCCAAAGAAGAAGATGATGATAGTGATTGTGAATCAAATGCAGACATTTCTGAAATTTTGCTAATTCCAGCCAATGATGAATCAATATCACAGATATATGAAGCCATAAAGATCTGCCAGGTAATAATTCTATATTTGTTATAACATTCCTAGTTTTTTTAATGCAACTAATTTTTCGACATTTTCATATAGTTTTCTAAATACATAATGTATATTTAATTATTTGTTAATTTTAAGGAATTAAATCCTGATCCAATGGATGATGAAGATGATGATAATGAAGATTTAAGTGAAGACAATGATGATAATCTTTATGAAGATGCAGAAGATGACATGGAAGAAGGTGAATATGAAGTTAGAGAAAGAGGTGGTGGTGATGCAGGTAGTTTATAATTGAAAATAATATATATTTAAAAAATATTATTTTTCTTAATTTCTAATTTTAGATGTTGATGATCTGGCTAGGAGAATTCAGTCTAATAGTGTTGACATTCAGATTAATTATAGAAATGGTACTAATGAAGAAGAAGACTTTCAAGATGCTGATTAAATGTTTAATTAGTTAGTTATTAGTTTAGTATTATTTTTATGTTTTGTACTTTTCTAATTTATTCATGCATTTAAAAAAATGTAATAAATTATATAAAATCCATAAAGTTTTTATATATTTTTGTGTATATACGTTAAAGTGGTTAAAAAAATTATTTTATATTTAAAAAATTACATAAGACGTGACAGTAGGGTGTGTCATTTTTGAGCAACTTTTTTTTTTTTTCAACTAAAAAACGGACTAAAAACTATCAGGAGGGTGAAAAAAGAAGCCTTTAAAAATTTGAGCTCTTAATATTAACATTTAGTGGTGCCTGTTCCTAACTTTCCATTTAAATAACATGGAAAAAAAATTTCTTATTTTTGTAGCTTGATATTTGAGCATTGTAAAAATGAAAAATAATATCGTTTAGGTAAAATTATAAAAAAGAAAGATTAAAAATTCAACACAACAAATTAATCGTTTTATTTAATCTATAATTCAACAAATTTATTGAACACATGACTTTTTTTGATGGTAAATAAAATGAAAAAAATACGGGTGGCACTCGGGGACTGCCGCGGTAAAGCTATTGCATAGCATTTTTTATCAACTTATGCAATTATAATTATTTATTTTATTTATGCAGTATTTTTTTTTCTTTGATATTCAAGTTACACTTTTTGAGCGTGGTGACCGATAAGAAAACTTTTTTTTTTATTTTATTGAATAAATGAGAAGTTAATATTTTTATTATCTTACAATACATGTTGGTTATTCTGGAATTTTTATCATTGAAACTATAGGTTTATGGTAACTGAAATAAGAAACATAAGTTTGAGACTTGATATCCTTTAAATATCTGGAAAGTACCGCGTCAATGGTAGTCCCATATTTTGTTGTGGATTCTTGTGGATCATTATTCATTTTCAAATTCAATTTTTCCGAAATTGTGTCTAAAAGAGATAGAATCAGTTATGAGCAGTTAGCAGCTAGTGCATGCACGTCTAGTCGCACGCACACAAACACCGTGCCGAAGTCTGAAGAACTGAAACGACGATGGACGGCTTTCAACGCCACACCGCTGTGCCGGTCGGAGTGGGGGGTGTTAGGTTTATTTTCGTTACGGAATTTCCTTTTAGATTTTTCGATTTTCTTTTATTGAATAAATGCAAAGTTAATATTGTTTAACGCCGCACCGCTGTGCCGGTCGGAGTGGGGGGTGTTAAGTTTTTTTCGTTACGGAATTTCTTGATTCGGTCGCCGCGTTCAAAGCCCGCGATAAAAGCTATGCAATAGCTTTAAAAAAAAATGAGATGTGTTATTTTCTTTCTATACGAAAACAATTATTTTTTCTTGAAAATACTTTTTAAGACAAAAAATTCATCAGTATTTAATAAAATAAAAGTCATAATTTCATACATTTGCAACTTTAAGTTTGAATATCTTCAAAACGGCTCACTCTATGAAAATATAAATCAGAACTTTTTTGTAGACCGTTCAATTTCCTGCCAAAATAATGTTTCAGTTTATTTTTACAATGCTAAAATAAGAAAAAATAAATTTTTTTCCATGTTATTTAAATGGGAAGTTAGGAATGGGCACCACTTAATGTTAATATTAAGAGCTCAAATTTTTAGAGGCTTCTTTTTTTACCTTCCTAAAAGTTTTTAGTTGAAATAAAAAGTTGCTCAAAAATGACACACCCTTACGTGACAGCAATAATTGTGTTTGCCTGAAAATTACATTCCTAATTCATTGTGAACCTTGCTTTTAAACCTGAATTATTAATATTTTTACCTACTTTATAAATCATGTGTACGTGTGAAAGAAGGATGGCATTGTGCAAACCATTTACAGAGATAGTCAAAGGTAATATACCAAGACTTTGATAATAGTCAGCTATTTTTGTTGAATCTAAATCTCGAGAATGTTTTAATACCAATTTGATGAGACATAATTTTTGGCGTTAATAATCTGATTATGAGCCCGAAAGCTTCAGCTCGAGGATAATCAATAATAATTATCATAAATATTTTTAAACAATTTTTTTAATTCTTTCACATGATTACGAATTCAAAACACAAAATTGAGACTGGCATATTAGGTACATACACCTAGGCGATAAATAAAAAAAAATAATCATAGTAGTTTTTGTCGTTCCTATGGCAACCTGAATGAATCGTTAACAATAAGTAGGTATATAAATACATTTTCAAATTAGCAAAAATTGATTCATTTGTTTAATGATTTTTACCTATTAATCGTGGATAGATGTTTTTGTGCGGTATTAAGAGGAAGAAAATGTTTCCCTTTAACGATATATATTATTATTATTATAATTTGATAAGAGCAGGGGCCATAAGACCCATAAGCCCATATTAACTGAATATAAAACAATATTACTAAAAACTAAATCAATAACAGGTATAGTTGGAGAAAAAGATATAGTGTGATTTAAACCTTTAAAGCCAGCCGGCAAACATACAAAAAAAAACTAAGGAGACTGATACATCACCTTTAAAAATAGTAGATAAATACGAGGCACGATTAATTTACTGCATAACACACTGAAATAAAATAATAGAATTTGTGTTGATCGCTCCCTGTATGCTTATTTGAATGGTCCACATGGACTGGACATCTACCTGTCAGCAAATATTACCTCCCACGTTTAATACGGCGCATGTAATTGGTCGCTTCCAAATTATTATTGGTCAAATTCTTGAATACTGTATTCAGAAATGTGCAAGAAATTGAATTGTGACATGTGGCACGACCCAGTGTCGTAACATCGAAAGTTTTAGAATTTCGAAATAAATGCCGCATCGAATCCCACCGGTGGCAGGAATTTTTATTTAATTAAAAAAAAAATTAAATATTAATTCTAATGCATAGGTTGGATTCCCCACTCGACCATTCACTGTTGGGTTCTAATTAACAGTGCTGTTCCTAAAGTGGCGCTGGGAAACAGTAACAAAGCCTACACAGAACACGAGGCTAATGGCCGTAGTAGTCGACGCCGATGACACCAAATAAAAAAAAAAAAAAAAAAATGCCGCGTTTGAATAATATCCACATCGGATGCATCTGAGATGTTGTGAATTTTTTGTCACGTTGTAAAGGATTAGATCTAAATGTAGATGTTAGTGATGGGACTATTCGAATACAAATTATAAAAGTATTCGATTCTAGCGTGCATTCGACCCGACTAAAATTACAAAGGAAGCGTAATTTACTAATTTTAATTTAACATAGTACTTTAGTAGTTCTGATTGCGGCATATTACGTAAATATTTTTAGAAGTATAGGAATTTTGGTATTTATTATTTTATGAACAAGTCATAACTTAATCAATGAAAAAAAAAGTGGCAGTCACGGCGATACATATTTGCCGACACCGACCTATAAAAAAATGGTTATTATTTATTCAATAATAATCCATATATTATTAGGTAGAACAAATCGGTAGGCGGCACCTGAGACAAGAACTGAGACTGCCGAGAGCACTAGGGAACTCAAGTCGAGAGGCTGAATCGCTTGTGCTTGCGTTTATTTTCATGTCGCTGACGCTGACCTCGAAACGAAACGTAAATAGTTCGATTCTTTTGTATTCGAATAATTGCTCGATTCTCAAAAGTAATCGAATTCAAAATGTTCGATTCTGAAAAACATCCGATTCTCCCAACACTAGTAGATGTAATAAACAAAAGTTCTAGACTTTATTGGTCACGTGATAAAATGAAATCTAAACAAAAATTAAACAAACAAATCACTTTTATATTCATGCATTCATAAACAAAGGCTAAATCGATAAACTTGGCTTCACAGAACGCCTACTTTTTGGCATGGAACGAACATCTCATTCACATCTCATTTCAATCGAGATGTAAAAAATGTAATCTGGGCAGCTACATCTGGAATAAACAAACGCAGATGTAGGTGTAGTAGATGTGTCCGATATTGATAAACAAACGCTCGAGATGTAGAAAATGCATCCCATGTGGATATTCAAACGCGGCAAAAGACATATTATCCAAACACAAAGAATTATTTTAAATATATACACATGCTTGAAAAGTGAAAATCATGAAACCTTATGAAAGGGAATAGTAAAAAGTTTATAAAGTGATTAAGGTAGGAGATATCGTCGACTATTCTTTAAAGCGAAAAAGATCTGACTAAAAGCTAAACATATTTAATAATGCTTCCAAAGAAGTTATACGTCGAGTAGTGTATCAATTTTATAGAGAGAGCCAAGACCCGACCTTAGAAATGATTCGGGATAAATTACAGGATTTCCCGGATTATAAATACAAATATCTATACACTTTGCGTAATGTCTTACTCGATTTTAAATATAAAAAAAATAGATACAAGAATGGTTATTATGGAATCGTATCGCATAGTAGCTCACCGACAAGATTATTTACGCAATATTCAGCAATATCGTCAAGCAAAAAAGCACATAGTGTATTTAGATGAAACATGGTTCGATACATGATGTAGTCGAGCATGGTTGGGTACATAAAAGTAGTAATTGCAAATTAAACGGACCTTGTTCTCGCGGCAAACGAGTGATTATATTGCATGCAGGAAGTGATAAGGGTTTTGTGCCCAACGCTTTATTTTTGCCGGCTAGAAATATAAAGCGCTCTTCGGCTGATTATCATGAAGATATGACCGCCAGTCTATTGGAAAAGTGGTTTACTGAAAAATTGCCGCCCAATATCTTCCCAAATTCCCATTGTAATGGACAATGCATCTTATCATTCCGGTTTTCATAGCAAAGTTCCCAATAGCAGTACCAAGAAGGATGATATTCTCAAATTCATGTAGATTAAAAATTTGTAAATTCCTTAAAAGGCTACAAAAAAGGTGTTATTGGAAGCTATTAAAAAAATAATTTAAAGTAAGAATAAGTCATTGAAAAATTACGCAAAGTACATGGTCATTATTTTGCAGCTTCCTCCTATTATTGCGTATTTAATCCTATCGAGGTGGTGTATTTTATGTAGGTTCTATAAGAAATGTACCTAAATAAAATAATCATTTTTCATTTATATTGTTGCATTGCACGCCTCTGTCTCGAGCCAGTCCAGTTTTACGTTTTTATGGCTATTTATACTCACTTCGTATAGGACCGATTCCACCGTTGTGTTAAACGGAGTTTAAAATGACATTTTTACATTAACAATGTCATTTTAATCTCCGTTTAACACAACGGTGGAATCGGTCCATAGACAATTTAGTCAAGCGAACATCTTCTTAGGAGTACATTCAACACGATGGAGTTATGGAGGCCTTGGGATAACAATGGTAATAATAATAATAATAATAATATTAATAATAATAATAATATTAATAATAATAACAATAATAATAATATTTTAGAATTTGATAACGACCGTAATATTTTAGAATGTGAAACCGACGCCGAGTTTGTGATGTGCAATGACAAAGGTGAAAATTTTGAGTGTAGAAGTGACGGTGGTAGTTTTGAATGTGATTGTGGTAGTGATTTAGATGAAGAGCTCCCAGTCAAGAAAAAACGAAGTCATTTGAATTATCAAGCACAGAAAATATGTTTCAACGTGTACATAAATCTGCACGAGAAGTTTGGTTTCGACACAAAAATACTATTACAAGCAACATCTGATTTAACTGGAATACCTTGGAATACGACAGTTACAAGAACAATGAGATACCTACAATTGAAATAATAAGAAAAAAATTGGAAAACACGGGATATAACTTGGGCTGCTGTGACAGAACTCTTCAGAACTGGTTGAAGAAAATGGGATTTAAATTTAAAACAATAAATAAACGGCAAGCAGTTATGGAAAGCAAGAGAATAATCGATATTCGTAATGGATACTTAGAACAAATAACGAAATATAGACAAGAAAATAGACAAATTTACTATTTGGATGAAACATGGTATGACACGCACGACACAGTTAAGAAGGGATTGTTGCTTGCGAAATTGAGTGCCTCTACATTATTTTAAATCCATATTTCATTCATTTCTCATTCATTTATTTTTTATAAAACCACCATGCTGTTGTTTAATATTTATCAATTTAAGAACTTCTTTAATCTTCATTCCAGTTTGAGAAGTTTTTACACAGAACTTCCCTCTATATTATGACGTGCTAATATTTCAGAGTATGATCCCTCAGGTCATTTTATAAAGTTCATAATATGAACATAGTCCGCAACTGCATACATTTTTCGATCTACTTTTATTATTTTCAATTTTGGTAGATATGTGTTAATAGGTTTTATATCCTATTCACATGCTAAAATTAAAAATTATATCTAAACTATTTTCAGAGATTTTAAAAAACAAATGTTCATATGAACTTTTCTTCATAAAATAACCTGAGGAATCACACCCTATAATATGAGCACATCATTCAAAAATACCCTGTATAAATTGTAAAAACAGGGAAGCCATTTTGAATTTTTGAAAAGTAATTTATGTCTGTTATCTTAGATCAGATACCAATTTTAGTCGAAATCTACTGACTTTTAAAATAGATGTTTTTTTAACTGCTCACCCTGTATATATCGGCATACAAAAAGTTTTTTTCCTAAGCCGTTTTTGAGCTATCGCGCCAACAGACAGACGGCAGACAACAGACGCCGGACGGCACATAGACCTACTGAATGGGGAAAACATGTTTTTCGTATTCTAGGGATCCGAACACGTGAAAATCTAAAATATTCTCGTAGGGTGACTTTTTCACGATTACAAAACTTCCCTTTTATCGAGGAAAGTACAAATAAAATAAGTATACTCAATCTCTTGAATGCTCCTCTACTATTTTTTATTGCGATGTATCAGGGGTATCAGTTTCCTTAGTTTTTTTTTTGTATGTTGTCGGCTGGCTTCAAAGGTTTAAAGTCACACTATATCTTTTTCTCAAACTATACAACCGATGAATAAACAATGAAACAAATGAAATGTTAATTAAAAAATAGAAAATTATCAAGTTCGTTCTTAAAAACATTGACAGATGGAGCATTTACAACATTCTCCGGTAGAGAATTCCAAGTGTGGAATATTCGATTAAATAAAAAATTTTGCCTCGTTTTCGTAAAAAATTGTTCTTTTTTCAGCTTCCATTTATGGCCACGTAGTCGATTTTCACTGTCCACGATGAACATACATTTTAAATTTCCAAAATTATATTTTAAAATACGAAAACAAATTATCATGTCACCCCGCAGACGGCGATTTTCAAACGTTTGTAGTTCAGCCATATGTAGTCTCTCTGCGTAATTAGGTCTCATACGTCTGAAAAATAGTCTGGTTGATCGGCGCTGAACATTTTCAAGAATATTTTTATCCCGCACTAGTTCCGGACTGGTCCGGACACCACACAGCTCCGCAGTACTCGATAATCGGACGAATGTATAATTTATACAGCCGGATAGAATTTTGAAAAGACACTTTTGCGAATGTTTTCTTTAATAAATACATTTTCGTGTTCGCCTTTTTTGACACTTGAAGAACGTGCTCAGACCAGCTGAGATTTTCAGTAATTATAACACCTAGATCATTGTAAGATTTAACTTTATTTAACGTATGACCGTTTAGAAAATAATTATGACGAGGATTATTTTTACCAATATGGAGAACCATAGGTAAGAGAACTACACTTTTATTTGTATTTAGAGGTAGCATCCAATCTGAGCACCAGTTATAGGTCATCTTGAAGCTGTTGGAAGTTCAGAGACGGGTCACTAAATATTTTAGTGTCATCTGCGTAAAAAATATTGTTGCACTTGATATGGAATTGAAGGTCACTGGCATATATTATAAATAAGAGTGGACCCAGAACTGATCCCTGAGGAACCCCACTCAAGACTGGTCTTTCAAGTGAATGCGAATTTCCAACTTTAACACAGTACTTTCTATCAGTTAAGAATGACTCGATCCATTTAAGTAAATCACCACGTATACCAAGGTGTTCTAACTTATATGTAGTAATCTTCGTTTCGGCACACGATCAAAAGCTTTCGCAAAATCCAGGTAAATAATGTCTATAGGTTTTTTCCTGTCTAATGAAACTGTCCACTCATTTACACACCAAAGCAAATTGGTCATGGTTGATCGCCCTTTTACAAATCGATGTTGCTGTTTGGGAATGATTTCTTCCGCTAAGAGAAACTGAGAAACGTGCTCTGTTATTATGGATTCCATAACTTTACAGAGATAAGAATAAGATATATTTGAATTATGTCATTTTGGGGAAAACTTTTATAGGGCAAACAAAATAGCGTGATTTTTTAATATAAAATATTTTTTTAACCGCTTTGCTCAGGATAGGGATTGGCACAGGTGCCATTTGGTAAAGTACAATGTTTTTACATGCTTTCTGGGTATATTTCATTTCTTTATCAGATGACTGTAAAAATTTGGGCTATAATGTTCATAAATATTTTGATTTCAACTACTTCAAAAATTTAATTTATTATAAAAAAATCATTTTAACAATGCCTAATAGAATACCTAAATCGTTATGAATAGAAATAACTATGTACATTTTAATAAAAACATTGAAAACGAAAAATAATAATCATAACCTAGATACAGAGTCTAAGAGTAATAATAGACGTTAATAGCATGGAGGAATGAGAATTAATAATTAATAGTGTACCGTTTATTGCTCAGCATTTACAAATTCCATAGCATTTATTAGGTATTTTCATGTTAAACCCTGTATAAATTCCAAAAGTTACGCCAGTGTATAATTGACCTAAAATCATTAAGCACAAGGCCAATTTTTTGAAATCTTGTCAGTTGTCAAAACTGACAGTACTGACACTGATTTGTAAGGTGATTTAAAAAATAAATTATTTTCTAAAAAACATACTTGTTAAGAATAAGAAATATTCTAAAATACAAAATGACTATAAGTGAGAATGCAGAGGATGATTCAATTAATGAAGAATCGAAAACGAAGACTGATGAGGATACCGACGAGGCTGAAAAAGCACTTTTAACCTCTTTTATCCAAGAAATTCAAGAAAAACAAACATTGAAAAAAGAATTAAGGGCAAAAAATTTAAATGCTTCTAATATAAGGCCAAGCGATTCATCTTTTAGTAAACTAGATTCAAGCTTAAAGAAAAATACAGCATTTGTGAAGAAAATTAAAAATTTCTCTGCAGCCCAAGTTGATAGTTATGTTAAAGATATGTCTAGTTTAAATTTATCTAAGTATATATCAGAAATAGCAGCAGCTATAGTAGATTCTAAGCTTAAAATGAGCGACGTGCCGGCAGCTGTGAAATTATGCAGCATTTTACATCAAACTTATGCTGAATTTTCACAACACCTTTTTGAAAATTGGCAAAAAGCTTTGGCCATTAAAGTAGGTGAAAAAATTCCAAATCCTAGCAAGTTACGTGTTGATTTGAGATTTTATGCTGATCTCTTGCAAGCTGGAGTATTTTCAAATAAAAACGCTCTCTCTTTACTTGGTTCTGTTTTGACTACTCTCATTAATATGGATAAAGAAGAGCACTTTAATATTGCCATAATATTAAGTTTTTGTAGACATTGTGGGGATGATTATGCAGGTTAATATGTTTTATTTTTTAATATCTCACATCTTTCACTTAAGTTTTTTTATTCAGTATATCTTGGGTGAAAGAGCAAAACCTTGTATTTGCAATTTTTGACGAAAATTGTTTTATTGTCCTGTGTGAAACGGTGCATGTCTGCGCACATACGTACCAAGTCTCCTATTAATCAATATTGTTGATCTTCTTATTTTAGAGAAATGCAACTACTTATTTGAAAAAATATAAATGGAACAAATAAAAATCAAAAAGTGAGTGGTTTTTTCTATTTCGTTTAAAATTATATAAGTATAGGAGGTTTTGCATTTTCACCAATGATATGTACTTAATTATATTGAGGAATATGATGTCATGAGTCTAGACACAACCTTTATAAATATTATTTCAAGAACATTAATTTACATTCATTCTAATAAAGGTGCAGCATTTACAGTAGCACCATTATTCATGGAACAGAAAAAAATCAATTCCATTTTACAATATTTAGGTGTCATATGATTTGAGACAGTGGAGTCTAGACACAACCTTTGAAAATATCTTTACCTATTTCAAGAAAATTAATTTACATTCATTCTAATAAAAGTGCAGAATTTACAGTAGCACCATTATTCATGGAACAGACAAAAACAATTCCATTTTACAATATTTAGGTGTCACAAGATTTAAGACTATGATTTGTTTTTTTAATCAGCCTATTGTTTTAAATGGTTGATAAAATGGCCAATATATGCCTCTCTGGCCTTTTTAACCAGCCTACTGTTCAAATACTTAGGGTCCAAATTCTTTAAATTTTAATTTTTTATCTATGTCTTGTATTAATATGAATACTACTTATAACTAAATATTATTTCATTATTTAGGTCTTGTGCCACGAAAAATGAAAGAACTGTCTATAAAATACAATATAGAAATACAAAAAAGTACTTTTCTGTCACCTGAAAAACAGCAAAATGTTAGAACCCTCCTTAAAGACTATTATGTATCATTAAGTAAACACTTAGTAAAAGATCACATAGACATGCAGAATTTTGAAAAACAGAACCTGAGAATCTTGCAAACCAAAGGTGAGTTAGCTCAAGAAAGAAAGGACAAACTTGAACAACTGCAAAGTGCTTGTGAGAAACTCCTAGCTAATACTCAGAATTATTCTGATATTTTGGATGAAGATATGCCAACTTTGAGAACACAAACTTTGCCAAAAGGAGATGAAGTAAGCATTTTTAAAATACTGTATTTAAAAATTTATTGTACCTACTAAATGTTTTACAAAATTTGTTTTTCAAAACCATGAATTAGGTTTAATATTATGTATCAGGGTTCGGAGGATATATATCCGATATATGCGATAATTTTATTTATAAAATTGAAAATGTATTCCACCATTCTAAACATCCAAAAATGTCTTAATACACCCCGCGCCGACTTTGGGATTCCCACATTTGCCATGATTTGTTTTGTTTTTTCTCTTTAAGTGTATGAATCAAAATATAGATAAAAATAAAACCAACCTTGATTGGGCATGGGAACCAGCCATATCTGAAGATTCTGTAGTTATTGTCACTAATAGGAATACCATTATTAATATTAGTAATTCATCAGATGAGGATATACCAATATCAATGTTAACATATATTTGTTTTTATTTTTTTCTTTTTAATTAGAGTTATAAAATATTAATGTTAATAAAATAATCTTAAAGTTTATTTTATTAATTAATTTTGTTTTTTCTTATTAATTTGAGCTAGAATAAATGGTTTTGTTGTTTAGAATATAGGTTTTTGTTAATATGTTTGTGTTAAAATTTAATATATAGTTTGTGCAAGGAACAATACTGTTTTTAATTAAATTTTAAAAATTATATATATCAGATATATATCATGTGATATATTTATATAAATATCATGATATTTTCGAACCCTGATATCTATTTATGTTATAATATTTTTGTAGAATATGATAATAACTGGTTCAGGCACAGACTTAGAGGATGGTGTTAATAATTTAGAAAGTATATGGTGTGATGTGGAGACTCAAAAATTCTACTGTGATTTACCTGAACTGACTGTGTTTTTACCAACTGCTTTTTTGAATAAAGGGCAAACTCCTCCTCCAGCAGAAATCGTAACTGAGGAAGTTCTTGACAGTGATTTACCCATAGAGGAACTAGAAGATGATGGTAAGCAATTGCACAATAAGTTGAGAGTTACACCACCAAGTTGAACATGATTACATCATTGCACCTCAACTAAACACACAAGTTTCCTTGACTAAGGCCCATATTTATAAACAGATCTCAGCTGAGTCAGAGTTGGCTGAGTCGTCCTTAAATGAAAATCAAAGTAAGTTATAACATGTGAATTTAGAGATGGGTAGTTACAGTAAATGCCAAATCTAAAGAACCAAGGATGTGCATTTATAATGCTACGAACACGCCTACCGATGAATAGAATTGGTAGCTTACCTAGAAAGTTGTAAACCAGGGTCGCGTATATTTTAAGACATAAAATAAATGGAAAATAGTGAATGATACTTGTTCATACATATTGCTTAGTGTTATTATTAGTACATAATTCTATAGTCAATTAAAAAATCCCTATTTTTAAGTAAGCCGACTTTAGGTTAAGGCTGTTCTACCGCTTTCCGTTTGGTATTTATATAAAATTCTGTTACGGTCAGGAAATTATCTTTATTCAAATAAATTAAATTGTGGTAAAATTGTATATTGGTCAAACGGGCCGTACATTCAAAAAAAAAAAGCTATTTAAAACATTACAATAGTTATACTAAAAACAAAAATAATTCTACAAAACATATTTTTATCTGAAAATCAATCATTTATGCAAAAATTGTTTCACATTTTGAGAATAAAGGCATTAAATTAAACCATTTAGAAACACTTGAAATAAATAAATTTAAAAATTCAAATATCCTCTTAAGTGATCAATTATATATTAATAACTGAGCTTAATTAAATCTCTTTGCCTGTTAAGGAGAGCTCTAGTATTTTGTATTTTAACCGACATTAATTTTTTTATAAACAAAATATGAAATAATATGTGTATGAAGTAATATATCATTCCTATTTTTTAACATGTTTAATTTTATATTATATAGCCTATAAGTAAATACAAACAACGTAAACAGTAAATCACAAATAAATAATGTTCATATGTCTTCGTCAGATTCTTCGTTGGAAGAAGACTCGTCACTGGAATCCTCATTAGGATTAATGACGATAGGATTAATTTCCGAACATAAATCAGTTTGTATATTTCTCTTTTAAAATATTTATCTTCTACCTTTATAACATGATCGCATCTCTTTTTCCATTCCTCCATACCGATTTTGTTAAATTCTTCTTCTGCTAATTGTTTTACGTCTTCTAATTTAAAGGTAACATTCCTTTGACTGACATTATTCTTAACAGTTGCCCAAATCAATTCGATAGGGTATAAGTCGGGGTGATAAGGGGGTAACCGTAAAGCGGTGTGGCCGTATTCTTGACACAACTCAGCAAATGCATATGTTACATGTCGGTCCTTGTGAGATTTAATCAGTTCATATAACTCTGGTTTCAAACTTGTTGGATTAAAAGGTATGTTGTATTTTATCAACCATTCGATCATATCATTCTTCAAAGAATTGGAATTAGGTGCTCGATTTGTCTGTACATTGTGATAACTAGCGTTATCACAAACAATTACTGAATTAGGTGGAAGATTAGGTATTAACTTCTCTCTTAACCATTTGCCGTAATTTTCCGAATTCATTTCGGAATGATAATCTCCAGACTTGATCCCTGATTTGAATATCAACAAACTATTTTTGATAAAACCCATTTCTTCCCACCGTGAACTATAATAAGCCTTTGGCCTTTAGAAATAACAGAAAACTAACCCCAAGTATGTCCGCTGTGTATATATGTTTCATCTAAATAAACGATTGGTCTATTTTGACTTCTAAAATATTTTATCTGTCTCAAATATTTTACTCTCAAAGTTCTTATTTTAATTTTAAGGTGAAGGGGGAGAAAAAGTCCTTTATATCTCACAAGGAAAGTCAATGTTTAATTATTTAACAAAACATTGAGTGCGACCGGTTTCGAAGTGTCATCACTTCATCTTCAGGCTCGCCTAGTGGAAAGGAGAATATGTGGTGTAAGGTGTGTTAACTTGGAGCAAACGATATATAAAATAGTAAAAAAAAGAAAACTCACCATACTCTCCATCCACTAGGGAATACTACAAAACAAGTTTCATCAAATGTGGGGTGAAATAAATTGTAAAATGAACAAAGTTTACAAGTAATAAAAAGTTAAAAATATTTGAAAAAACAAATATTAATCAATTGAAATAGTAAAAATTTAAAATATTCAAGACCATACAAAACAAATAACATACATTAAACAGATTAAAAGATAAGGCTTATTTTAAACAACCTTGTTGTTTTTTCAAAAAAACTAACATTTTTGAAAGGATACCTGTCAAGTTAAGGTCTCTACAGGTGGTGGCAAGTATTAACAAAAAAAAATTCTTGGGTAAACCCATGACAGGGTATAGGTAAGATGTAAACCGTGAGTGAAGAAATATTTATTATATAAGATTTGGGCCATGAACCAATCACCAAGTGTATGTGATGTTGTAGGAAGAAGAAAGAAGAAGAAATGACTGGGTTAACTGTTGCTTCACCACATCACATACACTTGGTGATTGGTTCATGGCCCAAATCTTATATAATAAATAATAAATATTTCTTCACTCATGGTTTACATCTTATTACCTATACCCTGTCATGGGTTTACCCAAGAATTTTTTTGTTAATACTTGCCACCACCTGTAGAGACCTTAACTTGACAGGTCTCCTTTCAAAAATGTTAGTTTTTTAAAAAAACAACAAGGTTGTTTAAAATAAGCCTTATCTTTTAATCTGTTTAATGTATGTGATTTGTTTTGTATGGTCTTGAATATTTTAAATTTTTACTATTTCAATTGACTAATATTTGTTTTTTCAAATATTTTTAACTTTTTATTACTTGTAAACTTTGTTCATTTTACAATTTATTTCACCCCACATTTGATGAAACTTGTTTTGTAGTATTCCCTAGTGGATGGAGAGTATGGTGAGTTTTCTCTTTTTTACTATTTTATATATCGTTTGCTCCAAGTTAACACACCTTACACCACATATTCTCCTTTCCATTAGGCGGGCCTGAAGATGAAGTGATGACACTTCGAAACCGGTCGCACTCAATGTTTTGTTAAATAATTAAACATTGACTTTCCTTGTGAGATATAAAGGACTTTTTCTCCCCCTTCACCTTAAAATTACCTCAACTCACACATGGCTACCCCCCTTGTCAATTCTTATTTTAATTTTTTCCACCAAAACTTTACGATTATCTTGTGTTTTCCTCCATTTAAATTGTAATTTTTTAAGGACTCTTCTTAATGAAGTTTCTGATATGTGGATATCTAAATCTTCCTTAATTTTATTATTTAACCTTTTAACAGTAACACGAGACTTTTCTGTTATATGAAAATCGTAAATTATTCTTCGAATGTCCCTCAATTGATATTCAGGGAGATTCGTAGCGGTTGATGTTTACCTGTTGCTTGTGCAGTTTGAAGTTTGATATCATCTAAAGTAACTCCTTCCTTTTTTGTTGCGTCAAAATATTTAAAAACATTGTATATTACATCGGGACGGTGGTGTAGCGGTCTATCGCGCTTATATTCATTTATAGGCAAGTTTATGAGTCTGAGACTGCTGGGTTTCGAATCCCAGACCGGACCATGTGGATTTTTAATTAAATTGCATGGTTCGGTTTAGGATTTGATGTGTGGCGTATTACCTAATAGAAATTCAATTTCTGTTGATATGACATGCAGATTAAAAAAATTCGCCATACATTACCGTCTCGATGATGGTGGGTGAGGTTTTCCGGGTTTTCCTCACCTGTAAGTCAAATGGCACCATCAATCATCTTTAAGTCGCCCCGGAGCGCCACGGCAAATAATAATAATAGCCGTCCCTTCCCCTACACAAGTCGTTCAGTCGACTTCAGGGGTTGAAATTCACTCGTAAGGGGGTGAATTAGGGAGAGTATTATTATTACTTTACGACTATATTACTTTAACCAAAACACAGAAACAAGAAACAAACAATGATCTAGTCGTTATGCTACTGACCATAAGCAAGGACAAGATTCAAATTGTGAATGGGCGTGGCCATTTTTAAGTAAACGAACTTGGGCATTTGGGCTGGTTCTTTAGATTTGGCGTTTACTGTACAAATCCATAAATGTACTTAACAGTTACGGATTTGCCACTGTCCATCTCTAAATTCCAGTGCAACACTGAAACCACCTGGAACTCTAGAGAACTTCAATTGGACGGCGTTAAGCAGAAAGCTACCCAAACTGAGATAATCAGCTTTAAAGTTTTTGTTCGTTTAAGAAAGCTATGGGATATGGGCTAGCATTTTTTAGTTTTATAGGGTATATTTAACTGAGATTTGGTAGGTTCTTACAGAATGCAGAACGTGTATTTTATTACCCAAATCCGCACTCAACCTAATATCTGGTATATTGTGGGTTGCTAGTTTTCTGCATAACGCCGTCCAATTTTCGTTCAAGGCTGACTCGGCCAGTTCCGACTGGTGTAATAGTGATGAACTACGATCCATTTAAGGCCACAGGAGCACACTCCAATATTCGTAACATTAACTAATTTTGATAGATGTCATTTATGTGTCGTATTTAAGAGCAAACCAAACACCTTAAAAATTTATAATTCATTCTGAGCCTTTATTTTAGTTCGATTTTTATGAAATTTTCAGGAAATACAACAAACAACAAAACATAGGGTGGATGGAGAAACTTTGAATTTTTTGTAAACCTTCGAAAAGTATTTATTTTAAAAATAAAAAAACAATTCAAAAAAAACATTTCCGCTCCATTCTGTTTTAGATCTATAAAATTTTTTGCTTTTTGGTTTAATAAACATCTAGTAGTTTTTAAATTATATGCTAACCCACCTTTTTTCCTTAAACGTCTCTGTGGAGTGTTGCCTTATCGTAGCACAAATTTAAAACTCTAAAATATTGTCCAGATACGTAATATCACGAAGTATTCTGTGTGGCATGCATATAAATACAATTTTATATTAGAAAATCCTT